TGCTACATGGTATAAAATTATAATAACTCACATGTTATGGTGACAAAAGCTTAAACGTTTCGTGATTCTCATTGGGAATCTCAACTATTAAACGGGTTTACATTAGGTTTACAATCATTAGGGACGGTGAATATTAAATTTCGCACTAGGTTCTTCTAATCTACATAGTCAACAAAATTTACGAAGGATGTAACTGGAATATTAAATAGAAGGAATTCGTTTACTTTGCATTTGACTTCAGAAACCGCAGGTGTAGTTGTATTAAATAAAGTACGTTTTATATACGTTTACTAAATTGTTCGCCATAGAATGTTGATAACACTAAAAATTATTTGTATCTATATAAACACTATAAAATATTTTGCGGTATATGGTTAAAAAAATCGCCACAGTATGCCTAATGCGCATAAATGCCAAGCAGAAAATATATACTTTCATTCTAATTTCTGAAAAATTTGGTAAACAAAAACTAGGTAACTTGATAATGCGAGACATATGTGAATCATATATTGCCATATTCCCCAACGTATTACCCCAACGCAGTCTAATTCCGTCATTATTTCGCTTTTATTACATACAGTTGCTGCTTGCACTCCTTGCACACGTTCCTTTATTTATTATTTGGAGAACAGATTTAAAAAACTGTATCCATTCATTCACTGACTATAAAGTAACTCATAATACTGTCGTTATTATCTGCAGAGAAGATATATGACAGCACTTTATTGTGGGCCCGTCATGGAACTTTTATTAAAAATAAATGGAAGCTAAATGCAAAAAGGGTCAGCGGCAACAGTTAAGCATGAATAAAACATAATTCACCGCTCCGGGATATATCAAAATGTCGGTCACGCCTGAAATGATGTCGCTGACACTTATTATTTATTATTTGCCTCGGTCTTATTATATTGCTAAGGATGCGAATCATACAAGACTCAGTTTCGGTCACATACGCTTCACTGATTTTCCTTTACTTTGTTTGCTGTGAAAATTGTAGGTGCCTGTGCCAGTTTCTATGGATGTACTTATTAAATTTAAAAATATATATTTCTTGTACGAGTCGCTGTTATTACACATTTTTAGGATGGCCTTAAATTTTTTCTTTATTTTTTCAGGGAGGACAATTGATAATTGTAACAAAGTAATTTTCAGACAGGGTTCTGAGACACCCCTCATCTTTGTTTCTTTATTTTATTTAAATAAATATATAATACCGCATCACTAATTGCATTTTTCACACCAGCTGAATTAACCCAACATTGCGCGAGCTCGAAGCCGCTGGCACATTTGCCTGCTTAGCAAGTTAAAAACCAGCGAGAGCAATAGAAGCGTCACCGTTGGAAATAAGTACGTTTGTACTAAGTCCAAATTGTGACGACTGCAGACTCGTCAACGTTTGCCGTAAGAGTTTGCAGCGAAGAGTCCAGTCCGTCAACACCAGGAAAATCACTGAACTTTAAAGTAATGATAGTTTAGGACTGTACATAAACAGAGACATAGACTGTAAAGAGTAACCCTTAATAAATATAAATACTTGGGATTTTATTTATGTGTGAAGTCTAACTCTCTCTAACCCCTGGACGTAGTGTCTTCACTGTAGTTGCCTGCGTAATGGTGTTTCTGCACTTTCAACAGAAACTGGCGCCCGGGATAACCGCCGATTATCAGGCGTCATAATGATAATGCGTCCATTTTTCAAAAAATTGATAAAGTGGTCAGCATTTCCAAAAATAACTTATGGCAACAAGTCAAAATAAAACCTGCAATTTTATTACCCTTTATTTGTTTAATAATAAAATCATCAAAGTTATGTATACGCATATTATATTATTATTTATTCTATAAATTAGTTTATTATCTTCCTTTACCAACATTATTTGTCGAAGTGTCGTATACAAGGTGATGTGAACGACCGAAACTAAATTAAAAATCTAATGGGATTATAGAACACTGAGGTTTAAAATAAAACTGTACCATTTATCCCAGAACCTGTTCATTCTAATATAGGGTGTTTATCGATACACCTAGAAGAAAAATTACTTGTGATTGGTGCCTCAGCTTGCATACAATAAAGAACCAATAAGCAATTCAATTGCAGTAGATAAAACAGGCTTTCTGATAACCAGCCACTAGACAGAAGTGAACACTAATACTGGCTAAAGCTTCTTGCCGCTACTGTTACTAAAACTTTCAGCTAAATATAATTTTAAAGCAATAAAGGTAAGTGAACTGTACATTAAAGACGAACAGGCGTAGTGCTGCACTAATTTAATATTTCAGCTGTGGTAGTATTTTATGGCAGATAGATAATTAAGTTAGATGAACTGTATTGCAACAGAAGGACAGAAGAAAATAATTTTACTTGTACCCAGATTTGTTTTATTTTCAATAGAACATTTGAGACAAAAACTTGTTGCCATAGGAGTAAATTTTTTACTTACCTTGCTTATTCATTTCACTCCAGTAAATAATAAGTAAGTAGACCAATATATTCAATTCTAAAAGGTAAGCGTACCTACTATACAGTGAACATCAATTTTATGGGTGCATTAGGTACAAAAGCAAAGTTTTCTTTTGAAATCCGTATTAGTCATGTGTATGTTTCACATAAATTGTGATGTGATATTTTTGATTAGGTAATAGTTATTTTTTTAAATCACATGATAATCATATCTTAATAGAAAACACACCTCATTAGCATTGTTTTTCATAATATTCAAAACCATACACTCACAAAAGAAATCACGAAGTGTACACTACACCAGCGTATGTATACTGATGTATGATGCGGATTTAAAATTATGTTTACGATGTATACCATCGGAACACATCGCATTTGTTCGTGATGCAAGTGGGCGGGGAGAAAGAGAGAGTTCGGTTACCACAGCAACATATTTACTTGTGGCAGCAATCTTTACCACTGAGTGAAATAATACGTTTAGTTGTAACGGTAAATTTTAATAATCCTATTTACAAACCATAGCAACGAGTAATCTAGTATTTTACTGTTAGTTTAAAAATTAAATTCGATAGAACACTTTACCAATTACAAGTAATCTTCGATCAGAAGCATGCATGTACAGAAATCTTACTTTACTTGTGGGTAATATTCAAAATATCTACCACAGTTAAAATAATTTTGACGTTAATGTATTTTTCTTTTTAAGCAACATAGTTTAATTGGAAGGTTGTTCTCAGAATTAAATACCTATTTGTGTAGAAATTAAACAAGAGTACAAAAATACCTACAATGGAGATGAAGATGAAATTTAATTAACGTAAATAAAAAAGTAAACAAGGAAAGTAATTAAAATTTAAAAATGAGAACGCTTAAGTCGTGAATGAAATATGAGAACCTACTACTATGGTTTGTTTGAACTTTAAATTGACGTAAGAATCAATATGCATAAGTACATAAACAGTATAAACAGAATTTACACATTTTGTTTATTTAACATCTCGTTAACTACACTAGGAAAATTATATTTGAATTTAATGAACAATTAACACAATCCATCAGAAATTGATCTGGGTAAAATTAAACACACAAAGAGTGTGCCAAAAGAAACACAGGATTTCATATGAAGGTAAAAGATTTTATCAATTAAAAAGTTGGCAAAGTTCTTACATGTTTTTAAAGGGTAGATATTGCCATAAAAAATGAAAGAGGATATCGGACAACTGACCAGTAGACTTCTTTTAAGAAAATTCTTGTATGACACTTTCGCATACTTGCGACTAAATTTCGTTGATAACTCTCTGAATTTCTACCTTTTATTCAGGAATGGTATTTATTTGAGCAGAATAATTTTTGGATTTTACGAATCCCCACAAGAAAAAGTCGCATGGCATAAAATCGCATGATTTTGGTGGCCAAGTCTCTTCATTGTTATGTGAGATGAGTCTTTCATTAAATTTCTACTATAACAAGTGGATAGTTTCACTTGCCGTAGGCAGATGGCATCATATTCCTGGAACTACGTCATCCAAAGCCATGCCACCTAAATGAAACCACAAAAAGTTCAATAGCATCTGTTGGTATCGTTCTCCATTGCAGCATAAAACCACACCACACTGTCACTCTCTGGGTATACAGTAGTCGTTTTTTTGAATAAAACGAGGATTGTCTCTATCCCAAATTCGACAGTTTTGCTTGTTCACATACCTACTAGGATGGAAATCCGCCTCATCGCTAGTGGTTTTCTAAGTAAAATCATCGCCCACTTGTTTTTTTCAACATCCAATCAACGTCTGGCGCATTAAATGGTCGTCTGGTTTCAATTCCTAAGTTAGCTGAATCTTAAATGGATGCAGATACAAATCATTTGTTAAAATCCGTTGCATTGTGGTGTGAAATGTTTAATTGCAGTGATCGATGGTGCATTGGAGTTACGGGAATTTTCACCACATTATTACTTATCGTAGCAATGTTTCAACTGAACCTGTTTCATTAAATTTGGCAACCAATCTTTTCTCACAGTTGTTTCATTCGGGGCGTTTCTTCTACTGAAAATTCCAAGTAATTTGCACACAGTCTCAGCTACACACTCTCTGAACTTGTAATGAATTTTCACAATCTTCACTCGCTCATCCTTCGTATAGCGGTGCATTCTGTCTAATCGCAACTTGCTTACTACAACATGTTACTCCGCACAATGCCGCCAACTCTTCCTCCAAAGGAAACGTTTGTTTTTCGAAATGTTTTCTCTATTCAATAAAAATGGATTTTTACTAATGATAGCTGCACCACTAACTGTGTTACAATGTTTACTAATTAATACTATAAATTGTAACTATTTTACGTCTGGAAGATAAATTAACTGTATAAAAAGTATTGTTGTATCACTTGAAAATATTTTGATGGACAATGCGTTGTTGCCTAGTTGGGCTTCGAAGAAATAAAAGTATCAGGATTCACAGAAAATTTAAGGCCACATGGTAAGAAAAAACTCATATTTTTTTTTTTTTTAAGAAAAAACAAGAACTTATAAATGCTAAAATATTGTAATATAAAAACAACTCCGGCAAAGAAATAAATAAAATAATATAAAACAATTGCCAAATAATGAAACAGTATTTGATTTTCAGTAACACATTTCTAATTATCCCAGTTTTCTCCGTTACTATGTACTACATCTTCTTCCAGGTATTCGTCGTTGTCCAAATGAAAAGTATTTCCCCTTACAGATTTATTATTGATACAATATTTTATGAAATGGCGCCAGTTCTCATCCGTTTTCAACACATCGCCATTACCAATAACAATTAATAGAGCCTTTGCCCTTGTAAGGGCCACGTTAAACCTCTGAAAAAAGAGAAAATGGATTAGTCAATCAGCTGTGGAATATAATCAAACTATTAAAGAATATATCTGTAATTAATTGTCATAGAAGACACAGTAGATCACATGGTAGATCTTCATCATTTTGTGACAACATGTTTTGTTTTATTCAATTCTAATGAAAAAGTTATTGAATAAACTGCCACCACCTCAAGATTTGAAAAAAAAGCACATGTTTTCTTAATAGAATTGTTGACTAAATCTCGTCAAAATTCTCATTCTATTTTTAGTAATTCTTGAACTGTTTTTGAAAAAATGTTGTTTGAGACCCAATTGCGAAATTCATTTGTATTCTCGCTATCGCTCGCAAAAAAACTTTCATTTTCGAATGCAGTCTAGCATCAAAAATAACTATTCAAATAATGCGCGAAATTCATTCATATGATTCCATTTTCTCTTGTATTTGTATGTAGTCCTTAAGATGCGATACGTTGTAGAAATAATTTGTCGCGATAACTCGAACACGAATTTTATTTCTCTTTTTGAAAGTATCTGAAACTAGTTACAACATTTTCTATGTGAAACTGTTTGAAGTTTCTTCAAACTTTGTTATACCTTAAGAAATAGTATCACTTTAGGTAACAAAGTTATACCTACTTCCCTGAACTATGTAATTCGTACCAACTTATTGGGTGAGTGGATAATGTAGTTAAAAGTGTGTATACTTTAAGCCAGTTGTATATATAGTCTAAGATCCCGACATAAATCGACGTTCACCCATCGAATATTCTAATGGAAGTAGAATTTTGATAATATAATTAATTAATAAACAAAACTTGATTTGGTCGACATCCAAATTGCCTGCACAGCTATTGTTAATAGAAAATGAAAGTTCAATTCAATTCAAAATTAAAGTTTAATTCAAAGTTATCTGTTTATACCTGTCTACCTAATTTTATGCAAGGAACAAAAATGTCGATCAAATTTTGGCATATTGTATACATATTTTACTTTCGATTAGTAATAAATTTATCCAAAAACTCAATAACTACATTCATGAAAGAAAATTAACTTTAATTTTTTTATAAATAATCTTAATGGGGACAGATCGCTGTTCATAAATCTTAAGTTATTTTCAGAAGATTCAAGATGGCAGTTTTTATACAGGGTGATTCACAAATGGTGACCAAAAATGAAACATCGTATTCTTTGGTCACCATTCCAAAATCTGAGGCCATTTCCTAAAATTTAGGTACTTCAGTGGCGGAGATACAGGGCATCGGTGGAATATTCTTCTAAATAAAATAGTACGCCACTTCTTTACGGTAACAACCATGATATTTCAATTTCTACAAATTACTACTCTCTTATGTTTCTCGAAAAAAAGCCTGATTTTCCAGTAAAACGAAATAAAACGAACTGAAAACACTAGACCTCAACCCACTGGATTTCTTTTTGAGGAGTGCTGTTAAACGGCTGGTATACAGTGAAGAAATTAATACACTTGAGCAGTTAGAAGAAAGAATAAATAATGCTTTTCATCAGATTCAAACAACAATAAATTTCGAACAAATAACATTTTTGTTACTAAAAAGATGCCGCTCCTGTGTTTCAAATAAGTGATTTTTTTATGAATATGGTTTTGCAGTTAAGGATAATCGTATAGGAATATTGAATACAAATAGAAGGTTTTTATTTCATTTTTATAAAAGTATGTAGATACTTGGCAAAGCAATAAGGCCCTGTTTTATCTCCAGAATTAAAAGTACTTTAGAAAGTAATAATAATTTAATTTAGCCCACATCTGAACAATTGTTTTGCCTTGGAATTTTTCTTTGAACTTGAATTTTATGCAGGAAACTTCGATGACAGATAGGTCTGTTTAAAATAATAGGAGTTTGCTTTATAAACATAGGTCTGGAACGGCCTCGTTTTAGGCATACAGGGTGTTGAAGTTGTTTAAAAAAATATATTTTTTGTTTATATCTCAGAAATCTATTAACCGATCTTAATAAAATCTGGTACAAATAATGTACGATAGTAGGCCTTGAAGTCCCTAAAATATGAGCTCTAAAGGTTTAACTAGTGGTGTACAACTGGACAGGGGTGGCCCCCTTTTTATAAAAAAAAACCTACGCCACTGTATTTTTTGCAAGTTGTTGTAACGCATTTATATTCTAATGCACTAAATACGTAAAAAAGGTGACTTGAATTTTTACCTAAGGTTCACCATTTTCAAGTTATTCATACAAATACAATCCCCTTATGGCACTTTAAATCATAATATTACAAAAGTATTTATGTTTATGCTTAAAGGTAAGTGCAATTTGTAAGCACATCAACAAAATTCTTTCCACATCACTTGTGAGGTAGTGTTCCTGGTGTATTTTAGTTTTCCCTGGAGGCATTATCTTTACAAATAAGAACAATTTAAATCAAAATAATAATAAAAATTTAACATTTACCAAGCAACAACTAAACAAGAAACAAAATTAACGTTACGTATTTACAGCAATTGTTTAAAATGCAAACCACCTCCATCGATACATTTCTGACATCTTCTATTAATGGAACTAATTGAAGCTAATATCATATGGTGGTTTTCTTTTAATTCATTACACCCGTCTTCTATTCGCAGCAGTAGTTGTGGTCTAGTATCTATTGGAGTAGAATAAATTTTTCATAGTAGGTCACCCCAAACATAGAAATCCAGGGAGTTTAGATCTGGCGATCTGGCTGGCCAAGACACTGGACCTTCTGCACCATTATGGTTGACATTGGCATTTGGTCCCAGCTATTTTGTCGTATATTTAATGAAACATCCTCTAATAATTCAAATAGATGGTTTTCTAGAAAGTTTAGAAATGACTCCGAGTTTCATGAGGATTTTCTTGTGACCAAATATCCAGATTGTGAAAATTCACTACCCCTCGCCTTGTGAACGTAGCCTCATCGGTCCAAAGTATTTCTAGTAAAAATTCAAACAACCACAGATAAAAATTCAGGCGTCTCTCTGCATCTCCTGGAAGTAAATTTTGCACAAGTTGTAAATGGTACGGATTTCTGCCATACTTACGTAGAACTTTTCAAATTTTCGATTTACTCACTCCAAGTTGCCTGACGTTCTTCGTGTACTTAACCGAGGATCGTCGTTAATTGCTTTTAAAATTTAATTTCTGTGCCTTTCATTCCTTTGTCGTGATTTTCCAAATTTTGTTTTAATCCAAGAAGATAAAAGCGATGAGGGTAAATAATTTTGTTGATGTGCTTACAAATTGCACTTACTTTTAAGCATAAACATAAATATTCTTGTAATATTATGGTTAGAAGTGTCTGCCACAAGGGGATTGTATTGGTATGAATAACTTGAGAACGGTGAACTTTAGGGGAAAAATTCAAGTTACCATTTTTACGTAATTTGTGCATTAGAATATAAATTCGTTACAATAGGTTGTAAAAAATATAGTGGCGTAGGTTTTTCTTAAAAAAAGGGGGTGATCCTGTCCAGTTGTACACCACTGGCTGAATCTTTAGAGCTCATATTTTATCTGCCCTCGAAGTTTCCTGCATAAAATTCGGACCACCCTGTATATACGCCACAAGCTACTAAGATTATTAAACGTAGATCTCAGTATTTCCAAGTCTGAATAACGCACACGTTTTGCTCACAGATGACAAGATAGAGTAATTTATGCCAAAACGAACTGTGAAAACTACAAGTTTCTAACTCCTATAGTTTAGATGCTATCTAGCTTCAAAAATACATTAATATATAGGGTGTTCCATTTAAAATAACAAAGTTATGTAGCGCCCACGCGAAATGGAACACCCTGTAAAGCTAAAAATATTTTTTATAAATTTTACAGTTACAGAGTTACAGAAGAATGCCTCTTAGGTGGAACACCTTGTATATCAGCACTGCATTATTTTAAATAATAGACAAAAATATTCAAAAGCTAGAAGTATATACTTAATTAAAAAAAGTCAGTTTATAATCTCCAATGGATATCTAAAAATAGGTAACCCTCATATAATTTACATTCATATTATGAAATACAAACATGTCACGTTACCTACCGTTTAAAAATTTCAGTTAGCATAAAAATAAATTATTTTTTACTCCTATATTAAATTTTATGAAATAATGAATTTATTGTATTGGAAAACTCGCATTGCTGTGTATGGGTTTACAGCAAATTTATATGTATGTTTTTTCGCAACAACAATCACAAAGATTTATTGGTTTCTATTCATGTTATATTTACTGATAGATAATTGTGTAATTTAGCTAACAATAAAATTATTTTCAGTTTTTTTTTACAGAAAAGCACATAGGAAAATGAGAAACAACAAAATGTTTCGATAGCTCATACAAAATTGTCACATAAATTAAAGATGTTTTTGCTCTTTCAAGGACCTGTTTCTAACAAATAAAAATGTGATGAAAGTCCAGCGAGATTGTTCCCCAAAATACCAAATTTCAACTCAAAATTTGTTTATCATTTATACTTATCGCTAAGACAATCCAGGGACATCCTATATATCGATGTCTGTGTACTTAAATATTCTATTATTAAAATTCAAAGCAAATATACTCGGTACAACAATAGAGAGCTTTTCTCTTGATATGCATCATTCTTTTCTGAATAACTTGTAGAAAATACTGAGCCTGCAAAGGACTTTCTTGTGAGCTTAGCTGGAAAAATATATCTCAAAGGAATTCAAATAGTTCTGGAAGGATTTGTAGAAAATACCTGCGCTCCGCAATATACAATTTTCGTTTAAGAAAATGTAAAGTACAAATACTGGTGAAATACCCATTGCCCTTCATATGCAGTCAGTTTAGTCAAAAGCGAATATAATTTCATGTCAGGTATTTCTTCAGGTATTTCGTCAGCGATAACAACTGTTATCAAAAATAATTAATTTAACCGCATTTAAACGTGATATTTTTTAATTCATCACTTATTTTCTAAATAATTTCTATTCGATACTTCGCAAAAACCTATTTATACAGGGTGTGT